AGGCTAGTTTAAATATAACCTATAAACACACACGTAGTATTGCTAATTACGTGCTCACAAAAGTTGTGTTTTAAGGCGTTTTAATTAAAGTAAGTAGTTTTTTTATGTAGTTTAAAAATGTATTTTTTCTGTTTGTTTAATATCTGGTGAAGTTCTATATAAGAAGTTTTTATATTTGTTAGATTTTGAGTTAAAATGGTCCCTCCATGTTAAGGCAAAATGACTCCGGAGATTATTTTACCCTTGTTTAACCTACCAAATAACGTTATGAGTTATATCGGAATTTTTTTTGTAACAATCAAATCAAATTTAATGTAGGTATATTATCTTTACGGAAATAATGGCTAGAACTATGACAGAAAGACGAAAAGACAGCAATTTTATTCAAATTCAATGAGAATTGCCTTGAAAAATATTTTTCTAATGGCATGTATTTTAAACGTGTCCCTGGGTTTTATAATCTCCCTTGAGGACTTTAAAAATGTGGGCCAAAAATCAAAATGTATTCAAGTAAACAAAAAGTAGACTACTTTATTCATAAGGAAGACGTCAGAAAATTATTGGTACTTTATTTAACACAACATGTTATTCGAAAAGCTGTGGTCGATTCACTATAACATTGCCGAAAGAATTAGATACTTACTTAAAGGAGTATGTTTTAAAGATGAAAGACCGACTATTCGGCATGATGAATAAAACATTTGTGAAATGAGAGTGATATGTTCTAAGGAGACATCCAGAGATTTCTTTTAGTCAAAAATTGTTTTGTCAAAAATTGTATTTTTTTAAATTAAGTTCATGTGAAGTAAAATGACATAGTGGTGTAGAGGGCAAAATGGCATAGTATTTCATTTACCCGATCGTACATAGATAAAAATAATGTGCCTTACAAATGGATAACATGTTTTTTTTTACAGATTATGCCGCGAAATTACGCAAGAACGATCAATAGGCAATCATGGGGACACAGACTACATGGCAAAGGCAATAGAAGCTGTTAATAAGGGTGAAATGGGGTGGCTCAAGGCAATAAATCTTTTCAATATACTTCAAGAAACTCTAAGAAGGCATGCCTTGCAAAAAATACAAATTAAAAAAAAAACAGGCGAACACGACTAGGTAGGTTTAACTTACTTTTCCCATAGAAATTGAAAGACAGTTGGTTGAACATTTAATGCTAGAGTCAAGGTTCTTTGGACTAACCAGAAGGGACGTATTAGAGTTAGTTTATGATTTATCAGTCAAAAATGGGTTTGAACATCATTGTAATTACCAGAAAAAGGCCGCTGGACAAGATTGGTCAAGAGAATTTCGCAGAAAAAATTCAGATAAAGCTCTGTGTTAACCCGAAGCCACATCTGTAGTAAGAGCGCAGGCTTCTAATAAACCTCAAGTAGCTACATTTTTTAAAGTGTTAGAGGACACTTTGATAAAGGAAAATATTGATCACATGCACATATATAATGCAGATGAATCTGCATTATCTACCGTACAATGACTGCAGAAAGTGTTTACTACAGCCGGGCGCAAGCAAGTACGTGCAATTACCAGCGCCAAACGAGGTTACCACGTGACAGTTGTTTGTTGTATGTGCACTAACGGGAGCTATATTCCACCTACTCTAATATTTCCACGAAAAAATATGAAAAAGGAATTAGCTGACCGTACACCAGCTGGAACTTTATGTATTCCATAGGAGACTGGCTGGTCCAGTGTTTTTCCAATGGTTGCAGCATTTCCAAAAATATGCCAAGGCATCTTCCAGCGAGAATATTTTGTTAATTGTGGACATTTAAGTCATAAATATCTTGACGCTCTTCTGGACGCCAAAGGCAAAATGGCAAATGGCATTGTACTTTTATGTTTGCCGGCTCACTGTACACGTCAAATTCAACCTCTTGATGTAGCATTCTTTGGTCCACTCAAAACTTATTATGACCAAGAAATAACCAAAGCTCATCCTGGTAGAATTGTGACTCAGTTCATTGGTAGTCTGTTAAATGAAGCCTATGGAAAAGTAGCTTATGTCCAGAATGCTGCTCATGGATTTTCCAAAACTGGTATCATAGGATACCAGGAATACTGGGACATAGAAGTCCCTAATTTTATAACAGCTCAGTCAAACTTGCAAAATCCAACACGTGGCATTTTACTAGTGGTTACTCCGGCAGATTAAGTCCAGTTCCAATCGGACCATTTGTTTCCGGCAAGGGAAAAAGGCAAGGAAACGTCAATAAGGCACTTGTATTCTTAACTCCAACTCCAAATTTAGAGAAGGCGAAAGAAAAAAGCAAACCGAAACCGGAGATCCCTGCAAAAATAAAAAGAGCGGTAAAAAGGAGTGTTTTTATAGAATGCGAGTCAGAAAACGAAAGAGAACCTTTTTCTGCTGATAAAGAAAATGATGATGCTGCTTGAATTTACTGTACAGAACTGTACAAGTTGTCTAAAAAAGGTGTCAAAAGTGGGTACATGCTGAGTGTGCCGGCCTAGACAAGAAAACAAAAATACTTGTTTGAGAGCTTTGTACCGACTGAAGAATATTAATCGCTGTTAGTTTGTCATTTTGCCCGCCAGGTGGGGTAAAATGAACTTTACTTGTTCCTTTTTATATATTTGGCTAAAAGTTTATATTTTCTCCTACTTTGTCAAAAGCTTGTCTGAAGTGTTTCAAATACCTACTTTAGTTTGTGTTCTATCCAAGTTTTGTTTAAAAAAATGTTTTCTTTAAGTAAAATTTTTGGTTTTTTAAAAATGTATGTCATTTTGTACATCCTTTCCCTATATGTAATCTAGTTGAAGTACAAAATTGTGACTTTTTGGTCTAATATGGATCTATAAAACAATTTTCGACTTTTATGTTTCCATTTTTTGTGTTTATTTCATTGAGATAGATATATTATGTTATTATCGTATCAGATTACCTGATATTTTATATTTACTGAAATCAACTTGAAAAGCGATTCATATAAAGCAGACCAATCAACAATATATAATTAAAGCAATATTTAAATCGAAGCTTATGGAATACGCTCTTATTACTAATGTAAGTATTTTGTGCGGCCCGTTTACTGGCGATTAATTATGTTTTTATTTTCACTCTACAAATTAGTATGTATCTAATTAAGTCAAGCTCGAATGAACAATAAAGACAGACTAATAAAACTAGGTTTAAATGCTAAATTATAGGCATACCATATTATTGTGTTTCTTATTGAACTCACTGCAGCAATTAAAACACATCGTATTGTAAGAAATTATAGTCTAAATGAGTAACATTAGTAACTGAGGTAGAATTATAGCTTTTGAGGACATTTTTCATTACGGTATGTATTTCTTCATACATAAGTCCTCGAATATTTAGAATATCAAACGGATTAAGGCTAAATTTCATTATAAAATATTTTAACAATTGAAACTAATTTAAGAAAAAGTAAAAGTAGACATAATGAAATAAATTTTAACTGAGATTAAAGTAAATTTTAACTGAGTAATTCAGACCATTCTATGTCTATCTTAAAAACAGCAAATAGATACTGCTTTGCGGAGGATATTAAGACTAAGATATTGTTTTAAATCAATATTTATATAGTATATACGTATTTACATAGTACGGATTATTTTCCGATCCAATGAAACGTTAACAGTAATATTAAAAATATATATAGCAAACAGTTGAGTTTACCGAAAGTACAAGCTGAAGATAGCCGCAAATGTCAAAAATATTTCGGTTTGGCAGTGTTGGCATGTTTTTATAACGCATATGTTGTATGCATCTAATATAAAGAGATAAAGCTTTTTAAAAGGTACATCTTGAATATACTATTTTATGAATTCTGCAATTTTTAATTTATATAAAGCAATAACGAGTAGACATTTGTCTTTTTCGAGATTAATTGCAAACATCTGTTCTAATCTGACAACTTTTGATTTGACGATCTATCACCTAATCTATCAAAGGATAATTGCCAAAAAATTTGTAATAATTAACTGCAATTAATCTCCAAAGAAACAAATATTTACTCATTGTTGTTTTATATAAATCAAAAATTTGCAGAAATCATAATATAATATAAACAAAATGTACTATCTAAAGCTTTATCTTTTTATATCTGAAGCATACAGCATCATCATTATCAAAACATGCCAACACTGCTATACCGAAATTTTGTGTTCCATGTTTGAGACTTGCGGCTATACTCAGCTTGTTCTTTCGGTAAACTCAATCCAGCAAACAGGGAAGATTATAGAAATATTTTCACGGGCGCAATAATAACCAAAAGAAAAGTGAACAGTCATCAATATTTAAAGGATTGCGACTTTAATACATTTACAGCCAAGGAGAAGCATGCGAAATGCATGAATAGCTCGTTATCTTTCCGGCGCCGCAATCTTTGTCAGAATGATAGTAAAATAGTAAATAGTGGTGTAGTGTAACAGAACAGTAATAGGAGAGGAGTCGTATAGCACAAATTTGTTTTCTTGCATTTCTTGTTCACGTGTAATTAATTTAACATTTATTCTAAAATGTATTCAAAATAGTTGCAGTTTGAAACTACAAAGCATTATCTTATAACATAAATAAGAAGAGATAAAATTGTACACAACAGAAAAATTTAACTAAATTTGATTGAAAAGGGAAATAAAGTTTAAAAATTACCTCTATTTTATTTTTTAATGCTGAAAGTCTTAAAATACGATCTTTAATGTTCCATTGGACGAAAAATATGGTTTAAGCTCGAATTCATATTAAGCTTTAAATTAGAATTAGTTTAGAAGACGACAGCACTCTCAATACAAGTCAAAAATGGTGCAACACCAATCGACACAATCTCGAACCTGTTGGTGCTACCCAAAACAATGTAAGTAAACGCCCCTAAAAATTACCTACCTTAATCTAAATAATATATACCAACGAATTGAGATAACTATTTCAGTAACAATAACAAGAAATATAATATACGCTCAGCGTAAATATTATACGAACCAGAAACAATATTTTAAGCTCTTTGCAAAGAGAAAAGATTAGGACTACTAGGCGAGGTCGGAGTCGTTGGAGTAATGCTGCCGGACGAGGTACCGAGTCCGACTACTTGATTGTTTTTCGAATTTCGCATCAGAGGTTTGTGGTGGCGTAGATCGCCGTTGTGCTGCCATTGCCAACACGTGCGACAAAAATATCGGAAGCAATTCATGTCTCTGCAAAAGTACGGTCCCTGCTGTACTTGGCATATGGAACAGAGAGAATCTTCAAGGTACGGATCCACTTGAACCTTTGAACGAAAAAAAAAAAAATAATAAATAAATATACATTTAACACAATACTGTATGGTTATTACAAAATGTTTAATAATAAACTTGTTTTAAATTAAAGTGTACTATTTGTGTTGTGTATTAACATATTGTGTATTAACACATATAAAAGTACATGAAAAAAATAATAAAAGGGATGAAGAATCTCAGTCGTTTACTGTACACCATAGTTTTAGTAAACTTACAACGAAGTGAAAATTTTTTACTGTAAAATGGTATAACTGTATTAAAAATTTAATAAAAAATGAAATTTTCAAAAAGGATTAAAATTTCATAACATTTTCGGTCTTATCAGAACATCATCAGTGAACACCCAAAAGTAAGTATTGCCACGTTAATATAATGAATAAAAAAGGGTAGATGTTGACTGTTAATCTGAAAAACATGTGGTAGATACTTTATAAACTTTGAATTTTAAGGGAACATACGAAACCCTACCCGAAACATGTAGTCTACAAGAGTCTTATGAAAGACACCAGAGAATTAAGGAAGTGAAATTCGTTTATATTAAATTATCATTATTAATTTAATGAATTATTTATTTATTGACAAGGCCTTTAAGACAAGTGACAGTTTATTTTTAGTTAATAAACAAAGGTAAACACTTACTATGGATTATGGTTTGTACCAAATCTAAATTATATTATTGTTTTAATTTAACAATATTAATTTACTTTGGACTCACAATTGGACTCACGATTGTTCCCCCTCTCCCCCCGACTTCTCATATATAATGCAAATGCATCATATTAACTAAATTATATACTTATTAAATAATTGTGGAGAAATAAATTTGCGGAAAAAATATTCCGGTTATTGTGTATGTATTGTATGGTTGGTTGTCTATGTAAGGAAGCTGTATTTTGAATGTGTTAAAATGAAATAGCGAAGGTTTTATATGACTTGTTTTATATAAGTTTAATATGAGTTATTTGGATAAATGAATATTAGTTGTAATGTAACTGTCCCCAAAATTATTAAAAAAATGTTGTAACTGTTTGGAATAGTAGACTATATAGACGGATTTAGAAAGGGGTTGGTCATATTAATGACAAAATGTGGTTAATGTATAACCACATGTGTAGAATGTAGAATGAGGTATATTAAATATAGAGACCATACTCATATATGTGTTATTATATATATATATTATATATATATATATATATATATATATATATATATATTATATATTATATATATATATATAAATGTATTTTACGTAAACTTAAAATTATTCATACATATAATACATTTTTATTAATGTGTTTATTACCTTTTTGGTAAATTTGGCCGTTTTGATTTCTATAAAAGCTGCAGCAACAGCTTTGGTGTACGATATTTGGTTATTGAAGGTCACACGCCCAGATCCAATGGGGTATTTGTACTTATCAGTATCAATTCCTGCAATTTCAATAAAAAGTTATTAAATGCTTAAACTATAGTGTTTATGAAATATTCGAAATATTTTATACTGATTTTTCAATTTATTTTTTGTCATATAATTTATTATATTCTTAATCATCGTTTAATTTTTGATATTATTACACAATTGATTAGTAAATATACCTGCATAAACTACTCCATCGAATAAATCGTTCATAATCTTAGCCAAACCTTCGGCATTGAGCATTCCGTGTAACGCTCCCACAAATACAGTTTTACTTGGGTCTAACTTCTGAGATGTGGATTTAGTGTGATTAGAATCATTAATTATCCACGGAATTACTTGAACCTAAAAAATTTATTAGATTATCAACTTATTTGCCATATTTTGGTCATTTTAGAACTAAAGATTCAATTAAAAAATATATATTCACGCCATACGATGAATTGTATTTTAATTATTTTCAACGTACAAAACATCTAAGATACTGAGTAAGAAAGGTCTGATCCCGATACGTTGCATCCCAATAGCTAATAGGAAATATGTTATATCATTAACTGTATATTTTTTAAATAAATATGACATATATACACACACGCACACACCAAAACACAAAATACACTTATATACAGGTACCTACACCGTGCTCCATCGGCAAATCACCAGAGATCCCCACCGCAAATGACTTAGCATAGATGAGATTCGTGCTCCCCAATGTATAGCCTTGGTAGGGTATTGACGTACTACTTTGCATGATATAATTTCGTCCTGACTCACAATAATAAGACAAATAGACAAATAATAATAAGACAAAAAGAGATTGTGCAGAAGAGTATTTACAAATGAGGAACTTTTATAAATCGACATATAAAAATGTGGATCATGAAGATGAGAAGCGGGCGAGTACAAAGAAAACTCACTACTGTAGATTGTGTCTCTGCCCAAAATGGGTTTCAATGACCCCAATCAGAGTGCTACAGAAGGACCTTCAGCACAGTAAGACAACTTCCGCAGAACTTACCATTGCTACGGGAGAGCTCGTTGTCGCCTTTTATCTAACCCTCTGCTATATATAGCAGGTCTGTCGAAATCCCAAGTAATTGTACTTGGGAAATAGTCAATAAACCAATAAACAATAAACCAATTGAAATCCCCATAAATGAAACGGAGAAATGGGACATGAGTATCCAAGCAGAAAGAGAAGATATAGAAAAGACTATTGAAAGGAGGAAAAAAGAATGAATGGGGAGATTGCCGCTTGCAGATGAATGAGTGAAGAACATGATAAGTACGCGGGCAAAGAATGGCCGGAGGATTAATTTAAAAGAATAAAGCAGTCTAGAGAAGAGAAATTGCTCCAGCAGGAAACAGATGTGATAATTAAGCTGAATAAGAGGGAAAAGTGAACTAGCAGACAACTGCATCGCAGAATGGTCACAATGTCATACAGTACTGGAAGAACTGGTCAGAGAACAAGGCAGGGATTAAACAAACTAGATCGGTTTACCTCTGAAATGAGGGATGAAAGAGACCAACAGACCATAAACGCCGCTTATACGACCCCGATCGAGCAAGGAGGCTTAGAAAGTTTGAAAAGTGCTGAAGCTAATCCTTTAACGGTATTAAGAATTTGTAGAAGGTGGTGCAATGATGAGACTTATCAGCGTCGTGAAGGGTCTGGAAGTCCTAGAATATTACAAGCCCGTGATTTGCGCCATCTTAGATTTCTTAAGGGACAGTGTACTTCAAGTAAGAGATGATTTAGTTGCAGCTACAAGGCGAGTAGTTTCAAGAAGAACAGTTAATCAAAGATTACTTGGAATGGGACTGAGAGCTTACTATTTGCTTTTGGTGTTACCTTTTACACTATAGAACAAGGATAAAAGCTTAGAATGGTGCATATTTCGGCAAAATTGGAATGGCCAATGAAATTTTGTAAGCTTCATTGATGAATCTAGGTTTTGTTTGGCTGGATTTAATGAGCGCATAAGAGTAAGACATTTTCGAGGTAAGAGACGAAATATAGACTTGATTGTTGGACGTTATAGAGTACGACCACCAAGCATTATAGTATGTGAAAGCAAATCACCTCTAGTTCTTATAAAGGGCACTAGCTCGACGATATTTGATGAAGTAATGCCACTGGTTTAACTTCAATATTTATAAACCATTCCAATTGCAATCTTTTATTAACAGGATAACGAAAGAGTTTAAATTTCACGTGAAACCATAGAGTTCATGCAAGAATCGTAGAGACTTTAAAGTGACCATTAAGATCAGCTGATTTCATCGAACATGTGTGGGATATGGTAGATCGAAACCTAAATTAATTGCTACGTCATATAGCAAACTTAGAAGACCTTAGAAGACCATACGAAGAATCTGCATGAGTATATAACAGAGTAGCAGGAAGGATGGAGAAATGAACATAGAATGGATGAAGTATAGTAAAAGAAACACTAATTACTTTTTCACCCAGTTACTAAGAGCGCACGACTCAGAGCCTACCTGAAAAGAATAGGGAAGATTGCAGATGGAAATTGCACAGTCTATGGAGTGGCTGATACGGCCAAACACTCTGTATTCGAGTGCAAAATGTTCGACGAGGACAGAAACGAATGCACCAGTCTGGAAAGGAACAACAGCATGAGTATTCCGGATGAGGAGGTGGACTTTAGTTGGTAGGCAGGGAGCTATGAGTGTATCTGAGCAGGCCTCCTCTTGTGGACTGCGTGTTGTGTGTGTTAGATTCAGGATGGACCCTTCCATCCTGAATCCAACACACCCCAGGTCATACTTAACGGAGTATGGTCTGTTCCGGTCTTTAGAAGATTAATCACCGCCTTCCCATAAACAAATATTGTTTGATGCAGGTGATTTGTTTCTATCTAGAGAATGAATTGCTTTATTTATTTCTTCGATCGTTGCTAGTTCAGTCTTCTCGGGATTAAGCTATGTTTAGTCTCTATTCTGACCTCCATTTTATTTATTAAATAACCTACTTAAGTGTTTCTGCCATCTTTTCAGTACGTCTACTTTTTCATTTAAATGATCTGCATGCTAAGCCTTCATCTAGTTTGCTTGTGGTTTGAAAGCTTTTCTTTTGCTGTTAACTCCATTATAAAATTTTCTGTGTTCGTGTTATTTATTTAAGCTTTCCATTTCTTTACTAATTTTCAAGTGTTTATTTGTTTCCTCTTCTATTTATGTTTTGTGTTTTTCCTCTCTTCAGTTTTAATCGATATTCTTTAATATTGCTCCTAGTTCTCCTGTTAAAAATTCTGAGATACTCCTTATTTTTTTGTGTAGTTACCAGTTTACAATCTTCAACAAACTTGTTTTCAGTTCAAGTAATAATGCAAGGAAGAACGGTAGGAAAAGTCGAGAAAAGAGATTCCTGCTTGAACAGCTTCGATGTTTAGATGAAATTCCGTTTACGTATTCAAGGTGACGGTATGGAAGATGCTGAGTGCAATAATAATTGTTAACCATTTAATAATAAGAAAAAATTGTTGAAGAAAATATTTGGTACTAAATTAAAATATTAATTTTATTACATACTATCAAATGTTACAAATTGCAACACATAAAATGAATAAATTAATTTTTTTTAAGTTACATATTTTTGTTTGATTTTAAGTAATAGTACCTACTCACCTCCTTTGCCTTCATTCGCTTCGAACTTATAGAGTAATACCAATTACCACCATTAGCGTAATCACTGGTGCAGGCTTGCAGTAAAGTTTTAACATTTTTCTCGGATTCGAAAATGATGTACACGTATCCCTTTGGTTGAGAAGCGGCTTTATCTTTGCCGGGCCATTCCACCCGAATTGGACCAAAAGGTTTAAATGTTTGGATCAGCATTTGCTCCGTAATATCCCAAGGTACTCCTCCGAGAAATACCTTGCTAGAGTAGCCGATTGGTTTGACATTGGATCGGGGTGGAAGAATACCGCTCCATGTGCAGGTAGCATCATATAACGCTAAAAATGATTATTTTTTACCTATGGTATTTGTATTCAGAAAATTAGGTTTTCTATTCAGATTTGCTATTTTCATAAATTACTAATATTTATTTTTAGTTGATTGATACTTACATGCGGAAGAACGGTGGAATCTGGCTGCTCTATCAAGTTGTAAGTTTTCTGGTAATAAATTTAGTAACGTGGAGGGAGCATTATTCCACTTATCCATAATTTGCTATTAAAAATGATTATATAAGAGTCATAAAAACTAGACGTTGATTTTTTTTTATAAATGTTTAATAAAGAATGCAATTTTAAAATTGTGTTTTTCCTATGCTCTTTGTCTATTTTTTATTTAAATTTATCTATTAACATACATAGTTGGGCAGCTGGGTACCTTTTTGTATACATGGGAGGATTGATAGGTGAAAACTATTCTGAAAACTGTACTTATCCTATGAGTAAAGAAGCTGCTTTGTGGATTAGCTCATACGAATTAATATTGGCACCTCCACCAAAATCTATAGTTCATTCTGATAATTTTTTGAGCGTTTTGTGTTGAGGGTAGAACAGCTAGTTGGATCATGACGTATGAGAAGTCAGATTAGAGGGTTTCACGAATAAATAAATATTAAACGTTTATCTAAAGCCAAAGGAGCTTTAGACACGTATCTTTGGTACTATCGGTCCAATCGTGGCGTGCGAGGTATCATATGACGATATTTAGCGAAAATAGTACATAATAATAACTATAAAGAAAAATTAAACATAGCGGCATGCCATAAAGACCTTAAATTTATATCACCTAGATGGTTGCGACCAAAATCTTTTGAACAGAAAGTAAAGTCATGACCTTTCGTCTGTCAAGTCTTCTTCTCTTTTCACAGCGTTTCGTCTACTTCTTTTCGTCGTCTTATGTGTTATACAGGCTTCTTCTTAATGGGGTTAAACAATATTATTAGAGATGGGGTTAATCAAAATTTCAAACACCGCACGAACCGCGCGTAATGATGATACGTGCGCAGACGGCTAGTGCACGACAAACCGTGTTTTTTTATTCTGGAAGGCTGAAAAGCTTCTTTGTTGCTCGTTAACTTCTTTAATAGTAAATTGTCAAAATAGGTTCAAACTTTTTATTTATATATAGCTGTTATATAAATACAGGGTGTTTCAAAAAGGTATGTCATAAATTAAATCACGCATTCCGGAAAAAAAAATAAATTGATGAATCCAACTTACCTTAGTACAAAAGTGTACACAAAAAAGTACAGCCCTTTGAAGTTACAAAATAAAAATTCTTTTTTGCATTATCTCGTAAACTACTTGACATTTTGTAATAAAAATGGACAAGTTACTTTCTTGTTCTGAAAGCATTTTTCATAAAAAAAGAAAACAACAAAATCTAAGCGAACAGGGAGTGTGCAGCCCTAAATCCTCCCAAACTTTTGAGTACGTTCAAATCAAATGAATTTTGTGGCATCATAATGTTTAACACATTATTTTTAAAAATGTTTGCCTCCTATCACTTTTACTAAAAAAACAGTTTTTATTGAGTTATTTTTCTGACGAAATTGATTTGCGCCTTCAATTATTCTAACCCTTAACTGTTGTTCGTCCTCTATTGTTACATAACACACTTTCTCTTTCATAAACCCCCAAAAGCAAAAGTTCATGGGGTTAAGACCTGGACTTCTAGGTGGCCAAGAAATAGGTGCATCACGAGCCCTTTCAATCAACCGACCATGATACTGCCCGCAAAGGTATTTCCGGACTTCATTACTATAATGCGGTGGAGCGCCATCTTGTAGAAACCACATATTTTGCCTTATTGCAATATTCACTTCTTCCAAATACTCTTGTAAATCGTTTGCCAAGAACTGCAAATAATTATCACCATTTAAATTGTTGGGAAGAAATACTGGGCTTATTAGATTGTTATCCACAATTCCTGCCCAAACATTAACTTTGAAAGTCCTTTGGTGATAAGTCGTGTTTTTGGCGTGGGGATTTTCGTCGGCCCAAATGTGCTCGTTATGATGGTTTGTTATTCCATTTCTACTGAAGGTAGCCTCATCGGTAAACAAAATATTTCTAATAAAATTAACATTTCGAATATTTTCCATTAACAACCAATCGCAAAATCTAATCCTTTTAGGATAATCTTCAACCAATAACTCTTGAACTGTTAAGTGATAGGGTTTAAGCAGCTGATCCTTAAAACGCCTCCAAACCCTTACGTGAAGAACATTTCGTTGAGCAGCTAATCCCCTTGTACTTGTTCCAGGGACTTCTTCAATGATTTCAAAAATGTCTATATCAGTTGCATCCATTATTCTTCTTCTTCACGTGCCATCTCCGCTACGAAGGTTGGCTATCATCATGGCAATTTTGACCCTGGAGGCTGCCGCTCGGAACAATTATATGGAAGTGCAAGCAAACCACTCCCTGAGGTTTCTCAACCATGACATTCTTCTCCTACCTATGCTGCGCCTACCTTCAATCTTTCCTTGCATAATTAGTTGTAACAGTTGATATTTATTCCCACGTGTAATATGTCCCAGGTATCGTAGTTTCCTCATTTTAACACTCAATACGACCTCCTTTTGTTTGTTCATCCTGTCTAATACAACTTGGTTAGTTATCTTATCCTTCCAGGAGATTTTTAACATTCTTCGGTACGCCCACATCTCAAATGCCTATGCTTACCCATACATTGCTTATTTAGTGTCCACGCCTCCACCCCATATAACAGGACCGAGAAAACATAACATTTAAGCATTCGTATTTTCAGCTTTAGGCTTAGGTTTCGGCTACACAACATTTGTTTCATGTTGTTAAAGGCACTGCGGGCTTTCTCTATTCTTATTCTTATTTCTCTGGTGTATTCGTTTGACTCGTTAATATTTGTTCCGAGGTAATTGTAATTTTGTACTCGTTCAATGAGATTCTGTCCTACATGTAAGTTGATATTATTGATACGTTTCTTTGTAATTATCATGAATTTGGTCTTCTTTGTATTCAGTGACAGACCAAATTCTTCACTTGCTTCTACCACTTTGTTTAGTAATCTCTGTATTCCACTTCATCTCTTGTTATTTCTGGTCCTGTGTCACTGTTTATGTATTCGTTATCTACATTATCTCTTTGATCTTTAAACAGTTGTTCTATGTATTGTTTCCAGACTCTTAATTTTTCTTCTGTGTCCATAATAATGTTTCCACTCTCGTCTGCTAATATGTTGTGTCTGTTACTTTGTCTCCTCGTCAACTCTTTGATCTTCCGATGTGCATTAAAGCTGTCGTGTTTATTTTGTAGTTGTTCGATTTATTCGCATTTTTCCTCGTACCAGTTTTCTTTAGCTGTGCGTATTTTTAGACGAATTTCTTTTTGTATCTCTTTATACTTCTGGTTCTTTTTGTTTTTCTGTTTTCTTCTTTCATCCATTAAGTTCAGTATCTCATCTGTTATCCATTCTTTTTTATATTCTTTACTTTTACGGAGGTGATTTATGCTTGGTTTCATTAACGCTGTTTTAATGTCTGTCCAATTCTCATTGATGTTAACTTTTGTGTTGTCTTTTATGGGTTGTATCTTTGTTACTGCTTCATCAATCTCTTGTATCATCTGTTCTCTTACTTCTGGTTTACGTAATTTGTTGATATCAACTGCTTTTTTGGGGGTTGTGCTATTAATTTTCTTTAGTTTTATTTTCATTCTTGCAACTAGTGGATTATGATTAGATGATATATCTGCACCAGGGTATGTCTTAATTGACATTATGCTGTTTCTGTATCTTTCATTGATTAGTAGATAGAACGTCTGTTGGGTAGTTCGAAAAAGGTATTTGTAATTACCATTCTGTTTTCCTGGCTGCATCCATTATTGGACGACCACTATTGCCAGCAACTTGCGGTTGGATTGTACCCGTTTCCCGTAAACGGCGATCAATGGTCAGAAATAATCGTCTATCGGGTGTATTTCGATTGGGGTATTTTACTGCATAACGCCTTGCGGCTGCTGCACTATTTCCTTGCCATTCACCTACGATATTCCCGATAGTTTATTGAAATCATAATTTAATCCGATTTAACTTACTCAAAGTTAAATGCATATCTGCCATTTCCTGAAATGTGTAGGCCATTTTAATATCAAAATTTTGAATATTAATCTTATTCACACAATAAATGATAGCTTTAAATTATTGGCTATTTTTGATGGAACTGTTTATAATTATTATATTCGTAGAAAGTAATTGTAATTTTATGACCAACTAGGAAAAACTAGTTTTTCTAAAAAGTGATAAGAGGCAAAATTTTTTTAAAAATAATGTGTTAAACTAATGATGCCACAAAATTCATTTGATTTGAACGTACTTAAAAGTTTGGGGGTGAATTACTTTTGCACACCCTCTTTAAAATTTTTCTGTGCGCTTATATTTTGCATGAAAAATGCTTTCAGAACAAGAAAGTAACATGTCCATTTTTATTACAAAATGTCAAGTAGTTTGGGAAATAATGCAAAAAAAAAACAATTTTTATTTTGTAACTTCAAAGGGCTGTAGCTTTTTTTGTGTACACTTTTGTACTAAGGTAAGTTGGAGTCAATCAATCAATTATTTTTGCCCCCGTAATGCGTGATTTAGTTTATGACATACCTTTTTGAAACACCCTGTATACACCATATAAAAAGTGATGACAGCTCAAAATCACTGTCATTTTAGACAGTTTTAATGTATTTTAGTCGTACTAAAATACATTAAAACTGTCGATTTACGATGAGACTTATCAAAATATTCAAATATGAAAATTTACTTACAAAAAAAAAATGTTTTAACAATTGGTGGGATGGCGTACCTACATATTTGTATTCAGCAAAAACTTTTACATAAAATAAAATAGTTTTCAATTATCCACCCTTCCATGTATATAGAAAGGTAGCCAGCTGCCGAACTATTAACCTTTAAGACAGTGTATAGGCATCTAAAGGTCATAGTTTAAAAATATACAATGTTATACCAAAAGCTAAATAAAAAAAATAGTAAACAGCTAAACTTTTAATAAAACAAATAATAGTATACCTGCATATTATTATGTGAACACGCAGGAGGCAACACCGAATTGAGGAAAGCAGGATTAGTGGGCTGCTGCAAATACTTGAGTGTTTGTATCGCTTGTAGCTGTTGAAGGTTTGTAATGTCCAATTCGTTGGATCCATTGCAAAACAAATTTCTCGATAGAGTATCATTAATATTTAAAGAATTCTAAAAATTAAAAAACACATGACTGGAAAAATCCTAGAAAACACCGTTAAATTTTAATAAAAACAATTTTTTTTAACACGAGATCTACAATAATATCATCAGTCTATAGAAGAAAAAAGAAAACTATTGGTTCTTTTAAGAAAAATGTATCGAATTTATGTTTTTTATATTAGTCGATTTATATCATAAAATGTTATCTGTTATAAAGAAATTTGCTATGAATAATCTAAACTTACGAAAAGTTCATTAAAAGATGCATCAGGGCTTGATATTCCACTTAAATTAAAAGCTGCTTCTGGGCTAGATAATCCACTTAAATCGGACTCGGGTGAATTACTTCGAGAGTAATTCAGGTGATCCAAAACTGTTGGACTGTTGCTGCCACAGCTGTCACTAAAATAACATAAAAAGCTTAGCGTCTTCGGAAATTTTGTTTCATATACTGCATAACTTAACGCCAAATTTTTCGATTAATAATACTGTTAAAATAAGTAGTTATTTACCTCAAAGATGTACTTCTTAATGTTCTAGCAGCTAGAAAACTTGCAGGAGGAGTACAAGGTGTGATACCCGAATTTGCAAATGGCATATTTCTTTGATACGACTTAGGAGTAGATGTAACAGCTGCATAATTCATTGGATTTGGTTGAAATTTATTTTCATCTACGTCCAGCTGTAACAAATTGATGATCTGATATATTGTTTACAATACGATTCAAGGTATTGAAGATTTTAAAAATTAACAATGAGCACTATTTTTTATCTTTATACAATAATAGAGAAATTTTAAAATGTAGATGAATAATTGACAAGAGTTAAAGAAATGGAATCAGGGCAGTTAAAACATATCCCGGGACGGATATCAGTTCCGACCACAACCTTATTATCGGTAAAATCTCCATTAAACTGAAGAAAATCAAACGCAGAGAGAAGATAAAACCTAGCCTCGAAAAACTCAAAGATCCAGCAGTACAGGCAAAGAGAGAGAGAGAGAGAGAGAGAGAACACTCAATGAACTTTTAAATAAAAATTTAGTGAAGCACCACAAAATTCATTCAGCAAGAAGGTGAAATTCACTACGAGAAGAATCAGTAGAAAGTATTTGGCACACCTTCAAAACAACAATCACAACTATACAAACAAACAACACAAGAAAAACAAAGAATACATGGATGACAGAAGAAATCCTAGAACTGATGGACTTAAGAAGAACTGAGGCAATTACAAAAAAACATGACACTTCAATGCATACAAAAAGATTAAGGAAGTCGCAAACAATCAGGAAAAAATTCACTACAACAACTCTAGTAGATGATAACAATCAAATAGATTCTAGCCCAGAAAATGTAGAAAATATATGGGAAAATACATCAAAGATTTGATTGATGACGAGAGAACAGAACCACAAATACTAAATATTGAGACTAGCGGGAAAAACATAATGCTGTAACAAATCGAGGAATAATTTACAATTCAATTGCCCTCAATAAAAATGGACCTATTATGTGGTCTCCTAAAATGCCAGTCCAGACGTTAACTTTTTGAGGACGTCGAGTTCGGTAAACAAAACTTCTGTGCTGATTTTCCCGCGCACAATACCTCGTAATGGAAAGATTGTGTCTCCCTACTAACAAAACAGAAGATTTATCAGTGAATAAAATGTTTTAATAATATTTGGTTCGTCATTAGCCTTCGTTATTAGAGTTTTACACCAGCAAAGAAAAAACCCAGTACCTTCTGCTCGATTACATATACAGGCAAAATATCATCAAAAATAGCCAAACACATAAAAAAGAAAGGAATGACACCAGCTTTACGAATAAATAATAACCTAGGCAAATATATCAAAAACAACAAGAGCCAAAATAAAAAACACTTAAACAGTGGTGTGTACAAACTTAAATGTGGCGACTGCCCAAAAACTTACATCGGTCAAACTGGTAGAAACTTTAATAAACGAATAGCAGAATATAAAAGGGCTTTCAATAATAGAAAAACAAATTCTACATACGCACTTCACCTTTTAGATCACAATCATCTTAATCACTATAGAGTCATATATCTTGTCATCGCTTTGAACAGCAGATACAGCTTACAGATAATACATGGATATGCACTGACAGAAAAGTCAAGAGACGAGGAAGCTTAATCATTTTACGAGGATCTGACAACAGCAAGGAACCAAGAAAAATCACACTTCGTAATAATCACAGGAGATTTTAATGCAAACATTGTAACAAAAGAAGAGGGTGATCCACAATATATCGGTCGCTTTGGGCTGGACAACAAGAACGAAAAGGGTGATATGTTGTACAACTACTTAAAAAACGAAAATTTATATTGTCTCAACACTTTCTTTAAAAAATCAAATAACGTAAATGGACATGAATCAGACCAGACAAGCAAATTAAGAAACTAAGAACGAAATAGACTACATACTCTCCAATAACAAAAATATATGCACCGACGTGACAGTACTAAACAAATTCTATACCGGGAGTGACCATAGATTGGTTAGAGCGAACATTAAAATACAGACAGAGTAGAACGAAGCAAACTTATTAAACGAGAACGATACCCAACCACCGATGTCCTGTTTCAAAAACAAACGGAATACCAAAAAGAGCTAAGCACAATACTAAAATCAATAGAGACACTGAAACAAATGGATATAAACGGACTAGCCAATAAAATAAAAGTAACTGTAACAACATCGGTTAAGAAAATATGCTCAAACACGAAAACAGCCAAAACATCTAAACTCCAACCTAATATAATTAAACTACTCCAAGAAAGACGAAACAGAACAGATCGAACTTCGGACAGCTTTAAAAGTTTAAACAAAAATGTGAAGAAAGAAATCAGGAACGATCATAGAAACTATAATAACAATCTAATAAAAAAATATAATACAAGATAATTGCAACATGAAAGTACTCAAAGCAAAAACTCAAGCGGCACAACAAAAATCATAGAAATAAAAAAATAGAAAAACGTCTATATGTATGTAAATAAAAATGACGGTAAATCAACTAAAAACGAATAAATGTCCGGGAGAGGTTAAAATTACAATTTAAATGTTGAAAATTGGTGGCAGGAAAATGGATCAGGTATTAAATATTTTATTTAATAAAGTAATTAATAAAGGAAAGATTCCTCAAGAATGGTACAACTCCGCAGTCATTCTACTATTCAAGAAAGGAGACAAAGCAAACATCGAGAATTACCGACCAATATCCTTGTTATCACATCTGTATAAATTACTAACTAAAATCATAACCAACTGCCTAACACATAAGCTCGATTTTTATCAACCTATCGAGCTGGCTGGATTCAGAAAACCATAGAGTATAATATTCCAACTCATATGGCATTCATTGATTTCCATAAAGCATTCGATTCCATTGAATTATGGCCAGTGCTTGAATCTCTAGAAAATAGAAAGCACAAAAACTAATCCCATAACACTACAACGGTTAAGACAAGGAGACACCATTTTTCCCAAACTATGTACCCTTGCTCTAGAAGACATTTTAAAGAAACTAAAATGGAACAAGGGTATCAACGTCGACGGATCATAATTAAACCACTTAAGATTAGCAGATGAAATAGTTTTAATAGTAGATAATATCCAAGAGCTAAATGATATTTTACAACAATTTCAGGAGCGGTAGGCTTAAAAATGAACTACAGTAAAACAAAAATACTGAGCCGAGACCAGACAAATATTACAATATAAAATCATGCCATAGAAAATATTAAACATTATGTATATCTAGGTCATGTCATCAAACTAGGAAAACCAAATCAAGATGCTGATATTAAAAGAAGAACACAACTGGCATGGAGCGCTTTCGGCAAACTAGCATATATCTTGAAAAACACCTCCATTCCTGTAAACTTAAAGAAAAATGTGTATAACACATGCATACTACCTGTTTGTACCTACGGCTTGGAGACAGTAGCCCTTACCAAAAAATCTGCTAAAAATTATAAACAACGCAAAGTGGAATATCACTGAGAAACAAGATTAGAAACACCGAGATAAGACCTAGAACGAAGATTAGGGATATTGTGGAAGAAATTACAAAAATGAAATGGCACTGGGCAGGTCACGTAGTCGATATAATTACAACAGGTGGACACGAAGAATTCTAGAATGGAAACCAAGGACGACAACAAGAACCATTGGAAGACCTCAAAAAAGATGGGTAGATGACATAAAAGCAGTGTAAGGTAAACAGTGGACTAGATTGGCGTAAGATAGAGAAAGATGGAAGCAATTGGGAGAGACCTACATTCAGGAGTGGATGGAAAATGTTTGACAAAGAGAAACTAGAAAACTAGAGGAACTACAAAGATATTAAGTAATATCCGAGAACAGTATCATTGTTGTTTTTAAACGTATCAATAAATTAACATTAACCTCTAAGACATATACATAGAACTAAATAAATATACCTAGTCCCAGAAATCTCAGTAAAATAAACACGCATCGATCAGACTTGAACAGAAGAACCAGAAATAAAATTAGATTTCGGAAAACTCAACTTTATAATAAAGAGCAGAAACAAATTAATTACAACTCGACTGCAAATACAACTGATAAAAGAATGCATAAGGATAATAGTGATGTGCGCAACAGAAATGTGTGCCTTTACAGTCAAAACCACACACCAACTCCAGATTACACAACGAAATATGGGAAGACAAATTTTAATATCAGACTAAAATATAAGAAATCCATCAGATGGAGTCGGAGAATAACCAAAACTGAAGAATGACAAGCATAATGAGAAATAAATAGAGATGAGCTGGACATAAAAACGTTAGGATGCAGTATACTAAAAAAAACTAAAGAAGAAAACAGTAAGCAAAAAATGTACAAATCGAAACCCGAGGCACGTGGAAAAAGTGGAATAATGCTGAACAAATACTCAATAAACGTATAAGAAATTGCTACATTTTATTAAATACATAAATAAGAAAATAATTACAAATTACTGCAGATATTTCGATTTAAATTTTGCTAAGGTACACTATTATAATTAACTAGAAATAATCAATTTAAGTATTACTTACAACCGTAATTTAAACTAAAGATATGATATAAAATATTTGTAGAAAACCAGACCCGAGGTGTGTGAAGTTCAAATATTACCCCTCCTGTATAACAAATAATTTTAGGTAGGTACTAATTTTTATTGAAAACAACTAAAAACTGAAATAAAAAATAAAATTTTGATTTCACTCTGTATATAAATCGTTACAACTATGTATCTTCAATAAGAAATTTGATTCCACAATATATTAAGATATAGTAAATTTTCGTAAATGACCGTGGATGACATAAAAGGCAACAATATTCAAACTAAATTGTGAGTTTGGCAGCATTCCTAATAGGTTTCCTAAATAAGGGAAAGACTCAAACTCAGACATAATAAAATGGATTAAAATTTTATAATGGAAAAATTAATCCGAGCGGCTTTGAGTTATATCTGTATGTTGGCAACAGAATATAATAGGAAATGCAATAAAAAATGTTAAATAAAATTTCAAATGCCACTTTTTTACTGTTCACAAACAAGTAGTGTATTCCAATAAGTCAATAATACGAAATAATATGCAATACATACCGAAAAATTTGTTGTACCAGGTGACGAACAGGAACATATTTCGGTGGAGTTATTGTTGGCGAAATTCAGTAATCCGCGTGGAGAATTCAGTCCCAGTAATTCAGAAATCGACGGCATAGTATCACCTGACATTTGAAAATATTTTTAATTAAAACTTCTTAAAAATTCAGGTTAAATGTTTAAAAAGTTAAGTCAAATTATTTAGTACTTTCAGGTTCAAGAATATATCAATAATGAACGATTTCTATACTTTGACGCTTGTTGACATTTTAACTTGGTAAAAACATATGCCTACTTGCTTTTTTGTTAGAACAAAAACTTACAAACTACCTTTTTGTGAATTGGTCACCTTCAACTGGTATTTGAAAATTATTAAAAGTACAAGTTTATTTTACTATAATAAAAATTTTATCATATTCATTATCTTATTAACACATTTAGCATATTTCATTTTAATTTTGTTATATATTTAAAATACTAAACTTACCTATAACACTTTATAAAAATTAATTTGCCGCTGATTAATTTATTATCGAAGGTAGGCAACTTCAAGACAGACCAGTGACATACGGATATTTTTTACTATTGGAATAACTTTTGACATTTTTTATGTAGATGCTAAATAAATATCCCTTTATAAGTAAATTACACTTTTCTAATTTAAATTGTCATTTACAAGGAGTGGTTAGAAGGATAGAGATTATAAAATTGTGTTTATATTTATATTTTATATTTATCCCAAGTCATAATCGAGCCATTTTATACGTTAGAAACATTTGCGTAGACATTAAAAGTTAAAAAATATTTATATTATACTAGATATATTAGTCAGAACATTGAAAACATGAATATTCATTAAAAATAGGAACGAAGGCAAGCAAAGAAAAATTACATTTTATAATACCTAGGCATTATAAAATTCACATATAGAATCAACAGGCGAAAAAACCTAAATAACGACAAATGTATTAAGAATTTGTAAGAGGTGGGTACTTGTAAAAAAATATAAGAGTAGTAAAACAGATTGATTCAATACTGAATACCAATACCTAGTTGGTAAATGAAATAGTTCCAGACTTAAAATGATAAATAAATGAACATGGTAGGGTTGTTGAAGAAAGTAAGAGAGAAGATAAAGAAACAGTGTTAAAAACACAGAGAGAATATGAGAATTCCTTTCTGGAAGTGTTGGAATAACAAGGGAAAAGTGATAACAAGGTCTTGCTATCATAGAATTAGAACAATCAAGGAAGGTCTGCAGGAAGGACCGAAAATATTAAGAATAAAGAAGAAAGAGAATTTAATCAGTGGAAGAAAATAAGTAGGGGAGACCGGAGTTAGTTGTTAATCGGGGCAGGTTATTATATTTAATTTAAATCAACTTAACGAGATGGCAGCACCTTTGACTCGACATAGCCAAAGCGGTACATACCTCCCTACATCTTAATGAACTTTGGTTAGTGTGGCTTACTGATCTGACGTATACCAACCATTTTTGTGTTTTTAGTAGCACTCAGTAATTTTTCCGACATTGTTAAAATTTTTGCTGGTTCTATTTTTACAAGGTAAAGTAACTTATTGTTTTCACAGCATGTTTTATTGACCGTTAGCTTTAATATTGTCTATACGTACAAGATTCAGTATTTGGGATTGTTAAGCAATTACAATTTATTTTTAATAAGGCGTCCTGGGGCAGGTTGTCACTATTTTCAACGGACAATTTGTTACTGTAACAACCTGGTTCATCTCAAGAATATGTAGATATAGCATATGCCTCGTTAAATTTTTTTTTCAGATGCTAATACCATGCTAACAGGATATTTAAAAAACCTGAAGATCTTCTCTGATCTACAAGAAAATGAATTAGCTTCTTATGTTACTCAATGTTTAAAGATATATCTGTCTTTTCCCAAAAGATCTTAAACAGCTTGCTTTTCAGTTCGCTTTAAAAAATAACGTAACTGTTTCTGATAACTGGACCAAATTTGAGACTGCATCTGCTGACTGGCTAACAAATTTTTTAAAACGCTACAATAAGCTATCCATCCACACTCTCAGTCTACGAGCTTAGGGCGAGCCACAAGCTTTAATAGGCACAATCTAAATTTATACTTTGACAAACTCTCCAATGTGTTAAATAGGCACAATCTTGGAGCAAACGATATTTACAATTTAGATGAAACTGGGGTAACTACAGTTCAAAAACTTGCAAAAATAATAGCTTCAAAAGATGTGAAGCAAGTGGGGGGACTTCGGGGAAACGAGGAACATTGGTAACAGTGTGTCTGTCCGTGAATGCTAGTGGAAACTTCCGCCAATGTTTATTTTTCCGCGGGAAAATTATCGAAAACATTTTGTTTCCAGTGGACCACCAGGATGTATGGGAACAAGCAATCCTTCTGAATGGATGACGAATGTGGAATTCTTAGTTTATGTGAAGAATAATTTTTTTCATAAGAATATTAAATGTTCTAAGGAAAGTTCAGTAGTATTATTAATACTGGACAATCACGATTCCCATTTGTCGCTTGAGGTAATAGAAAGAAATGGCATTGTTTTCTTGACCTTGCCTACGCATTGCTCTTATCGATTGCAACATTTGGATAGATCGGTGTCTGGACCATTAAAAAAAATATTGGCATTCAGATGGATGTCTGGATGAAAACTCGCCTAGGAGTTACAAAGACAATTTATAACGTACCTTCAATTGTTGGAAATGCTTTGCCGTTAGTTGGAACACCAAAAATATACAGTCCAGTTTTTGTGTAACTGGCATTTTCCCATTTAATAGGGACGTTTTTACTGATGAAGATTTTCTGCCATCATCCATTACAGATAGACCTGAGTCACAAAAAAATATGGAGCTTCAGTCACAAGCAGCTACACAAAATATACGAACTCCACTAAGTACGTCACCACAAGTTATCAACAAGGAACCAGATCAAGATCCACAACTATTAACTTCTCGCGGTTTAGTTACAGGACTTTAACCTAAAAATTCGACCATACGTAAAGCTCAATCCAAAAAAATACTGCACAAAATAAGAAACGAAGAATACGGCTATTTTGACGGACACGCTTGAAAAGCAAGCACTATTACAGCTAGAGCAACTGAGAAACTTAAAAGCTAATAAAAAAGGAAAACAAAAAGTCAAAAAGATTTTCAAAAGAAAGCGATGAAGAAAATGAAGAATCTTTCTGCATTATATGTTGTGATTCATACACTAACTCAAAATCAAAGACAAATGGGTGCAATGTGTAGACTGTAAGGGGTGGGCTAATGAACTTTGCAGAGACGGTTCTCCAATTTTGGTACGCATACATTGACAGTCTCATTAGTCTAATAACTGATTTAAATAGTTTTTAAAAATGTCGCACAATAGTTTGTATTTTAATAAAATATAGAGTTAATTTAAAGTTGTTTCATTAAGAAAATTAAAATATCCTTTGAAAAGTATGAAAGTTACTAGTGTAATAATTTGCCTCTGCCATATAACAACTTGCCCAATTGGGGAATAATTTGATACAGGTTGCAAAATTAAACAAATATATTATATATATATATATATATATATATATTATATATATATATATATATATTGAATTGAATATATATATATATATATATATATATATATATATATATATATTTCCTAAAAGTGGCAAGTTTCTTGTAAATCTAATATTTAAAATAATTATATCGAAGTGAGTGCTTCTTACACCAATTTTTATGAGGTGCCTATTTTACATATTGAATGCACAAAAAAATAGAATGTAAAAATTGTAACAACTAATCCCGGTCTCCCCTACATAGGTATTTAGGTAACGTCATAATTCGTACTTACATTAAACACAATACTAAAAACTTGAGTAAAAATTCACAGACGAAAACATATAGAATCAACAGACGACAAAAACCTAAATAACGACAAATGTATTAAGAGTTAGTAGGAGGTAGGTACGTGTAAAAAATATAAAAACAGATTGATTCAATGCTGAATACCAATACCTAGTTGGGAGATGAAATAGTTAGGTACAGACTTAAAATTATAAATAAATGAACATGATAGGTTGCCTAAGAAAATAAGAAAGAAGTCAAAGGAAAAGTGTTAAAAACACAAAGATAATATGAGAGATCCTTTCTGGAAGAGTTGGAAGAACAAGGAAAAAGTGGAAACAATGTCTTGCTATCATATAAATAGAACAATAAAGGAAGGTTTTCAGGAAGGACCGAAAAGATTAAGGATAAGGCAGAAAAACAATTTGATCAGTAGAAGAAAATAAATGGTGCAAATGTGTACATAAATTAAATAAATTTTGTTACTTGGTGAACAATTCTTCTAAGAATTTAAATTTATCTGACTTATTTATATTGGCAATTCAGTATTAATTCAATATTATATTAATAAGGTAGTTTATTTACTGAAGAGCTGTATTATTTAGTATTTTAGGTATTATTTAGATTGTTTTAATATCAATGCCTTCATTCCATAAAGCGGATTAGAGAACCCGTAACACCAAACAGAGACCAAGGGAGAGCAAGTAACTCTGTCGGAATTCTCTCTGTAGTTTAATACCTCAGGTGTTTTGGTCCTTACTGTGGCAGCTGGTAAGGATTGGCAAAATTAAGACAGCTATGATGGTAACGTTTTGAAAGGACATGACACACGAAGAAGAATAAGTACTATGAATGCATATTCGTAAGCCATGAGGTCCTTGTTCTACCTTATCCATGTTAGCTTTCAATTCTGTCTTCGATGAAAGTTGGTAGATAGCAATACGCGATCAAAGTAGGAAACAAAATTGCAAATGGCTTTTCGAGAAATCTTATCAACTATAACACCAACTCCCAAGTAGGCTTCGCTCTAGAAATAACCTTCTAGACTTTGCAATAATTTTAATCGAAGGAGACTTCAAGATAACTTTTTCAGGAATGGGAGAATAATGTACTGCCTGCCACCCGGAATATGCCGTGTATTACAAAAAACGCCTGAGGGTTTCGATCAACCAAGTCGAATCTGGGCCACAATGAACAGAATAAGAACGAACTGTGCAGGTGCTACGATTTAGTTTTCACTGAGGAAAATATCCTCTCCAAATTGCGATTGATGTACTGCAAGAGAAA